GGGCTTAGGGGCTTTAGGGGGCTTAGGGGCTTTAGGGCTTAGGGGGTTTAGGGGGTTTAGGGGGTTTAGGGGGTTTAGGGGGTTTAGGGGGTTTAGGGGGTTTAGGGGGTTTAGCGGTTTAGGGTTTAGGGGGGTTTAGGGTTTAGGGTTTAGGGTTTCAGCACTTTCGCTAGAGAGGGTCTGAGCTTGAGGATTTAGGGTTCAGGCTTCGATATTTCGGGCTTTCTTGCGGGCCCTTTTCCTCCTTGCTACAGTCGGAATACCGTTTCGGCTCGCAGTCGGATGATTTCACATTCCATGCGGGGTTCTCTTAAGTGTCCATTGGCTCTTCGAAGAAAGATGGCATGCCCGTCGAAAATACCTTCTACCCCAGACGATGAATCACGCTGATGTTGAAAGCCCAAAGTCCAGCTGTTCGGCTGTTAGAAACAGAAAAAAACCGCCGCAGCTAGGCCCAAACCTGGGGTGCAGGAAGTTCCCTTGCAGGAGTCAGAAGCGCACAACTAATGGTCGAGAGTATGACTCTGGCGAGTCATCATCAAAGTGACCGCATCCTTTTTGCCATCGCTGCCATGCCTACATGCGATAATATACCCCATAATGTACCCTAATAAACTCTAATATACTATAATATATACTAGAATGTACTATGATATGCTATAATATCAGTCACAGCCGCGCCGGGGCTTCGACAACATCGCCTTGATGGCCACGGTCATGTCCTCCGTGTTCATCGGCGGAGCCTGGGTCTGAAATTCGAAGGGACAAATGCCATGCAACATGGTACCGGCTTGGGGTTTAGGGTTTAGGGTTTCAGGGTTTAGGGTTTAGGGTCTAGGGTTTATATGGTTTAGGGTTTAGGGTAATAAGAAAACACCAAGGCCAATGTTGGAGCCGGCGGTGCAAGAGACCCAAGCCCTTGAAGGAACATCTCCACCATCAAGCCCGCCAACTCTGCGGCTACCACAGCCTAAATCCGGAGACCGCGCACCCCAAGCGCCCACGATCAACGCAAGCCCAGCCACAACGGATTTCGGCGCGCGAGTGTCCTTCTTGCGACCTCGGGGGTGCGCAGTTAGTTGCGAGAGCAAACATCTGTCTTATTGCTGCTGCCATAACTGCTACTATTCCGTAGGAGTCGTCTCGGTCGTAGAAACCGTAACAGCACTGTATTCCTGGTTGGTTTTTTTCTCACTCTTTGCCTGGCCACTTGTCACAAGGAATATCGTTGCTGCTGCGCTGTTCTTACCGCTTCATGTCTGCATTTTCTGATGTACTATGCCTGTTCAGGATCTCACGGGGCAGGAGTTACATGCTTGGCGTTGTTAGTTGTTTTTCTGGGTGATAGCATTCGTATCATGTATTGCCCTTGCTAAACTGCCTGCGGTCATATTCAAACTGCAGCCCATCCTTTAAACCTCATGCCGATGGCACCTGAATCAAAGCACTGTCCAGTATGTTCCACAAACAAGCAACATTCTTCACAAATACTATCCCTTATGGTCGTTCGTGTTTCGTTCTGCATAACATACCACACACTGCTAGTCTAACTATTCGGGCCCCTATATCACAACTATTGGGATCCCTATATCATAACTACTGGGGACCCTGTATCATGCTCAAGTCTGTTCTCCTCTTCTTCCCCGCCTCAAAAGTCCTACGCTTTGGCCGCGCTCGAAGGTTCATGATCAGACCTACCATCTTACGATGAATACTATGAGGCATCTACGATGAATACTATGAAGCCTAGGCAGGCACGGTTATTTATACCGGGGCCGCATTATTATAGTACGATCACTATGGCGACTACAGATACCAGCATGCCAATGCAGATGCAAGCACATGCTATCATGAATGTCATCATCATCCTTTCTACCAACTCTGACCACTAAACCTTCAACAAATCCTAAACCTTAAACCCTATCCCACCCGCGATTGGGGTCGCATAGTGCCGAGGATGTATCCTGCTTCCGACTTTATGCTACCATGACTGAAAGTAACCAGCGTGATGAGCTCGTAATTCTGACCGTGATCACGATGATATAAGGGCATGATGGTAGCCGCAATGGGGATGATGGTAGCGATTGTGTTCGTGTTTAGCTGCATGTGTTCGTGCTTTTACTTCGTAAAACTACCAATCGGATCACCAGTCTCCTTTTTGCCGTAGGCTTAAAACGCTGTCTCGAATCTTGTTGCTCAGTGATACATGTATCTATTCCTATGAGATGTACTATGTAGCTACTGAGCATTCGTTGTTCCTCTCATGCTCCACAACTCCTCACGGACCACCACTGTTCTGGTGACGAGCAGCATTGTCCCCAAACAATTCCTAAAGCCAACCGGGGCTCAGGCCTTTGGGCACCTCGGGCTCGACAGGGGTAGCTTCCTCCTGGCGCATGTGCCGGGAACTCTCGTGCTGCTGCTTCGCCTATACGCCGACAAGCTGCAAAAAAAGGGACCACAAAATCGCTTCGTTAGCTTCTGTTCACCTGCAATTGCAGACTCCCATACGCCCCATGAGCTCACTGCTGGATAAGCATCCAAATCCAAAATGAACAAAACATGTGTACAAAAATCTAGTGCGCATGCATATATCGATATATACCTATATATATATACTTATTTATTTACATATATATATATATATATTTTATTTATTTATTTATTTGTTTATTTATTTATTTACTTATCTATATATATATATATATATGCTTATTTATCTATGTATTTATTGAATTGTCTACTTATTTACTTATTTATTTATTCATTTATTCATGTGTACACACACACATAGTATGCCTGTCATTTCACTCCAGGACGGCTTACTGCACAGACGGCTTACTGCACAGACGCTTCTCCGTCAACATACGATCATTTCGCATCATGCTTTCTACGGCTTCTTTCGGTACCTAGGTCTTTGCAAACCCAGATTCGCACGGTGGGAGAACCGCCAAGCGATTACTAACCATACTACTCCTAAGTACTGTCGTCATTGCTGCTCTTGATGCGAGCATTGGTATTTCTGGTGAGCGGCCTGTTATTGTGTTTTTGGTGTTTAGAGAATTACACTATGCGTGCATGCAAAATATGCGTGTTATGGAGATCACAAGGGTGCCACTCTATGCTATGTGTGCGCATGAGGGTTGTTCGAAATTCTCCCTTGTTGGTTTTACCTAGGGTTGACGGGTGTAGGGAAGTCTGGAGGGCCTACCAGAAAACATAAAAACCAACCAATCTCAGAAACCTATCGTAAAAGGGATTGCAAAAACGCAGGCCCCAGGACAGTCC